AGTCTAATGTTACAACTAATCGGGGATCCCTTTAAAAAGAACCTGTTACTGGTCCTGGATCGGTCCAGTCAAAGCCTAGACCTCTGTTTTTTGTTGGACAGAAGAAGCAGCAATCTGAAGCGGCTGCAACAGTTTGGTCACGATGAACGGACAATTAGACAAGTTTGTGGAGACCTGAGGAGATATCGTTCAGTTTTAGGGCACTAATGCATTGTTTCTCTGTTTTATATTTAGAACTGTTCAACATGATTTTTCTCCCATTTAACTTCATTTATTTGAAGTATTTTACAGGAATAGACTTATTTCTTGCAATCCAGTTAAATTTCCAGATTAAAAATCAAKATCACTGCAGTAACTGATTCAATATTTAAAAGCACTCTTCTCTGACTATAAAAATTTGTAAACTCAACCATATCTTTGTCACAAGAGACAGAAGTTTATTGAGGCCCAGCTTGGCCTCCAGTGCCGGGGGGAAGCATCAGTTCTTCTCAGTCCAGCCAGCAGACACAGTTTAGATTAAAAACAAACACTTTCTTGAATCAGATGGAGAAGAACATGCTGATCTGATGCGAGGAGGCAAAACAGGCTTAGATAAAACCCATGACACACACACACACACACACACACACACACACACACACACACACACACACACCTGGTGATGAGAAACAGACTGGTGGAAATCAGGGGTGAGGACAGCAGGGGTGTGTTTGCTGTCTGTGGGATCAGGTGGTGTAATGGAGCCTCTGTTGTTTTGCTTCTGCAGATTGATCAAGACTAGACTGAGATAAGAGAAATAATGGGCGAACCCTCARAGCATATTTGGCTAAATTAGGCCTATAATGAAGTGTGCCGCTACCAACCCCACAGCACATATAGGCTTTCTGACACCCCCTCCCCCCAGAACAGCCTTGAGCCCACCGAGTCCTATAATATTTTACCTCCACAGTCGAGGTGGTCCACCCTCACAGAGCCGTCTTTCTGTATCCTAACATCCCCCGGTCCYGATATCCTCCCCGGAGCCGCAGCCGGTGATGCCCCGGCGGCCYCGGAGCTCCCCTTGCCCCGGTGCGCCTCCGCCAGAGTCCGGCAGCACTGGTAGCACACCGCCCATGCCTGCTCCTCGTTGATGGGCTGGTTGTAGAGCTCCAGGATCTCCTCCAGGGACAGGTCCTCGGCTCCGGCCTCCTCCGGTGGGTTCATCGTGTCTCGGTGCTGCTTTTCATCCCGGAGAGTCGCTGCTGCAGCCTCCGTCATCCTCGCAGCATCATCCTCCTCTCAGCACCGCGCGAGGCCGGAAGAGTGCAGGTCCAGGCCGATCTGAGGGGAGCTGTGAGYGGGCATTGATGCTCCGCTGTTGTTCTCCCCCACCCTCGACACACACAAACACACACAGCACAAGTCCACCCCGCCCGTCCGGTGTTCACATTTTAGTGCCACGCCGCGCGTCATAAGACGGTGTGTGTGTTCAGCCTTTGTGATTTGAACATGCGTGTGCGCGCGCGTGTGAGAGGATCACTCCTCACGATCGCGCAGCTTCTTCTCCAAACAAAACGCACTATAGTCATTTCCTGGAAGCTTCTTGTGTAACTTTTTCTWCCCCCACACTCTAAAAACTGCTGGTATAAACTCCGTTTTGTATTAAAGTGGTGGGTGGGTCAAAGGTTCGGCTGGTTGGACTAAATTTGTTGGGTCAAGTTTGGTTGGTGATGAACCTTCCTGTAGGGCAGTGGCAATCCTGGTCCTTGAGGACCACTATCCTGCATGTTTTAGATGTTTTCCTGCTTTAGCAAATGAATGAGGGATGACAGGCTTCTTCAAAACTTAAAAAAATCTGCTGAAGAGCAGGGAAACAACTAAAAAAATGCAGGATAATGGTTCTTGAGGACCAGGATTTACTGTAGACCAGGGGTGCCCAAATATTTTCCCCAAGGGGGCCAAAATGAAAATTTATCCATGGCTGCAGGCCAAATGCAGTTATATAATATATGAAATACAAATACTTTTTAAAGTAAAGTACTTTATTTTTAACCATTAAGCTGTGCAATGGTCCTCTTTTGTTTTAGTC